CAATTGGCTGATTGATGGATGAGCCGCATGATCTGCATGGAATTTTTATTTAAAATTATTTTAAATTATTTAGCACCTGCTGCACATTTGTGCAATCCAGATCTGCAGAAAAAGCTTCCTCCTGCACCGTTGTGCAGCCCACACTGCAGGATAAACTTCCTGCTGCAGCTGATCAGCTATTCTCTGTGCAGGACGGAGAAGTGGGCGTGGCCAAGAGTGCTTGCCGGTGGCTAAGAGCAGACGAGGTAGGGAGCTGAAATCAATACATTTTGTGCTCTTTTACAGCGTTTAGAGTTTAGAAACCTTGTTTAGAATATTGCAAGAGTGTGGGAAGGGTTTAAAACACCTTTATATATACACACACACACAAACCAGATTCCAAAAAAGTTGGGACACTAAACAAATTGTGAATAAAAACTGAATGCAATGATGTGGAGGTGCCAACATCTAATATTTTATTCAGAATAGAACACAAATCACAGATCAAAAGTTTAAACTGAGAGAATGTATCATTTTAAGGGAAAAATCTGTTGTTTCCAATTTTCATGGCATCAACAAATCCCAAAAAAGTTGGGACAAGTCAATTTTTACCACAGTGTGGCATCCCCCCTTCTTCTTACAACACTCAACAGACGTCTGGGGACAGAGGAGACCAGTTTGTCAAGTTTAGAAATAGGAATGCTCTCCCATTCATGTCTAATACAGGCCTCTAACTGTTCAATCGTCTTGGGCCTTCTTTGTTGCACCTTCCTCTTTATGATGCGCCAAATGTTCTCTATAGGTGAAAGATCTGGACTGCAGGCTGGCCATTTCAGTACCCGGATCCTTCTCCTACGTAGCCACGATGTTGTGATTGCTGCAGAATGTGGTCTGGCATTATCGTGTTGAAAAATGCAGGGTCTTCCCTGAAAGAGATGACGTCTAGATGGGAGCATATGTTCTAGAACCTGAACATAGTCCTGTGCATTAATGGTGCCTTTCCAGACATGCAAGCTGCCCATGCCACAAGCGCTCATGCAACCCCATACCATCAGTGATGCAGGCTTCTGAACGGAGCGTTGATAACAACTTGGGCTATCCTTGTCCTCTCTGGTCCGGATGACATGGCGTCCCAATGTTCCATAAAGAACTTCAAACCGTGACTCATCTGACCACAGAACAGTCTTCCATTAAATGACCCCTGGCCCAGTGCAAACGTCTGAGCTTGTGGAGCTTGCTTAGAAATGGCTTCCTCTTTGCACTGTAGAGTTTCAGCTGGCAACGGCGGATGGCACGGTGGATTGTGTTCACTGACAATGCTTTCTGGAAGTATTCCTGAGCCCATTCTGTTATTTCCTTGACAGTGACATTCCTGTTTGAGGTGCAGTGACGTTTAAGGGCCCGGAGATCACGAGCATCCAGTAGAGTTTTACGGCCTTGACCCTTACGCACAGCGATTGTTCCAGATTCTCTGAATCTTTTGATGATGTTATGCACGGTTGATGATGATAACTTAAAAGTCTTTACTATCTTACGCTGGGTAACACCATTCTGGTATTGCTGCACTATCTTTCTGCGCAACAATGGTGGAATTGGTGATCCTCTTACCATCTTGGCTTCTGAGAGACACTGACACTCTGAGAAGCTCTTTTTATACCCAATCATGTTGTCAATTGACCTAATTAGTGTTAATTGGTCTTCCAGCTGTTCGTTATATGCTCAATTTCCTTTTTCCAGCCACTTATTGCTACTTGTCCCAACTTTTTTGGGATTTGTTGACACTGTGAAATTTTGAATCAACATATTTTTCCTTTAAAATGTTACATTTACTCAGATTAAACTTTTGATCTGTCATCTATGTTATATTACAAATAAAATATTGACATTTGCCATCTCCACATCATTGCATTCAGTTTTTATTCACAATTTGTTTAGTGTCCCAACTCTTTTGGAATCCGGTTTGTGTGTGTATATATATATATATATATATATATATATACACACACTAAAATAAAGTACTATTTACTGGGGCTTCAGGGTGTGGATCTCCCCTCAATAAACAAGGGACAACTGTACACTTTAGAACCAAAGATGGGCAGATTTGAACCAACTTTGTAATGTTTTTTTTTTCTCTTGGCGTGGATTTATACCTGAACTTTGTGCTGCAGGAGTTTAAATTCAGCTTCAGAGCTCCAGATTTTATGGAAACGAAATGGAAAAACGTCTGAGACTCCTGTGGCAACTTTAACTGATTTGAGGAAAAAAAGTAACTTCTTGTTTGACACGTAAAAAAGTGAAGTAATGACTTACTCGAGGATCATCAGCATCCTTTAGGAAAGGAACAGAAAACTCAGTTCAGACGAGGTCTGGCTCTGATTTATTTGTGAGTCTGGGTGGAGCAGCAGAGTTGGTTTAATGGAGACCTGAGCTCTGACACATGACCTGTCCAGTAGAACCAGCATGAAATGGTTTATAAAGGAAGAGCGACAGAAGGACTATGACTTTAAAGAACAGGGACCACAGGGACTGACTTCCTTGGAGGATCTGTTCAGATGGGTCAGCTGATGAGCAGAGAGGCTGGAATTGGAGAGTAAGTGATTTTGACAGAAAAAGAAAGTGGAAGTGACAAAGAGACCTGGGCTGCAGGAGAAGTTCATATCCTCCGTACAGGACGTGAAAGAACAGATGCTTGCTGATGATTCTTCATCAGCAGATAAAAACTGTCCTTGTTTTGATGTCCCCATCTACAGACTGCAGGTCAGAGGGAACCAAAGTAACTGAGCTCCTTCACTCATTTACTTAAATACACACAAAGATCAGATATTTCATCTGCAGCCAATGAGAAAGCTCTGATCACCAGAACCTTTTCTACTCGGAGAAAAGGTTTGACTCCGTTTGAATGTTTATTTTTCATCCTTGTCGGTACTTTAAAAAAAGATTGAATAACTGAAAAAATATTAAAGTTTTTTTGACAACACTCTTTTAATTTAATTAAGTAATTAATTTTCTTATTTTGCATTTAGGCTGTTTGTCTTGTTAATGTTTTGTTATTGGTCTTGGTCTTTTTGTTCTCGTCTTGGCCTGGCTCTTCTCTTGTCTTGATCTTGTTCTAGTATTTGTTCTGGTTTATTTTTATTCTTGTTCTTGGCCTTATTCTTGTTCTGGTCTTGATCTTGTTCTTGTTTTGATCTTGTTTTGGTATTTGTCTTGTCCTTGGTTTTATTCTAGCCTTGCTCTTAGTTTTTGTCCTGTTCTTGTTCTGGACATATTCTTGTCTTGTTGTTGTTATTGCTTTTGTTGCCTTGTTCTTGTTCTGGCCTTGTTCTTGTTCTGATCTTGTTCTTGTTTTGTTCTTCTCCTGTTCTTGCTCTAGTTCTAATTCTTGTTCTAGTCTTGTTCTTGTTTTAGTAGTTCTTGTTCTTATCCTGGTCTAGTTCTAGTTATTCTTCTTGTCTTGGTCGTCTTCTAGTTCTTGTTCTGGTCCTAATCTTGTTTTACCTTTACCTGGGTCTGTTGCCATGGTAACTAATCCAGAGGTGGTGTTTGAAAGCAAACAGGAAGCAGATTTTCGGCCTTATAGTTTGGAGTTTATTCCTCCTGATAAATAAATGACGAAGCGTATGAAAATGATATTCTTGGCTGGACGGCGGCCATTTTTCATCTTCAGCCCTAAACAACTCCTCCCCCTCTAATATGCTTGTCCGCTATCTCTCCATCTTGTTCCTCTTCTCCTCCCTCACTCGTTCACTCCACTTGTTTTTTTCCTCCAACAGAAATTAATCACCTGTCTGTGTGTGTGTGTGTGTGTGTGTGTGTGCGTGCGTGCGCACGCCTGTGTGTGCATGTGTGTCTTTGTATGTGTGTGTGTGTGGCCAGCAGGGAGCCCACAGAGGGTTTTAGCAGCTGATTTATTGCCAAGTTAATTCATAACGGCATCCGATGAAGATGAGAGGCTGCAGGAAAGAGTTTGTTCCTGTTGTTCCAGGGTGAAAGAGGAAGAATAAACGGAGCTGCTCTTTTATAAAAAGTTGAACCTGAAAGTATCTCGGAATACAAAATATATTTAGGCGTGAATAAAAAACAGATTGTGATGGGATTTGCAGAGTTTTATTGGTAGTTGTTTTTTGTTCGTTGCCATAATTATTGCCTGCTCCCATGAAGATTGGGCAATCATGTTTGTGTTGGTCTGTTAGCAAAATATCATGATCCACTGGATGGATTTGAAAGAAAACACTAAGTATTCGGTGGATGTACATTTATAACTGATTACCTTTTGAATCAACGCTGATTAAAGATGGCTGACACAGAAAATCAGCTCTAGCCAACTCTAAAATGTCTCTAAGTCAGTGAGGTTCACCGCTATGAAAAGTAGGTGTGGTAGTAGCTGAGAGTCATCCCCAACAACCACTGCGACTGCATCTTCCAGGTTGTAACTAAAACTGAACTTTATTCTGTAACAATAAGAACTTGTGTTAAGTGTATTGTGTTCCGGTGCATTGGGAGTTTTGGTTCAGAGTGTGTTATGGGTTCTGGTTCTGGTTCCTGTTCCTGAGGCATGTTGAGCTCTCGTGTAATATCAACATTTTTCTGTGAGACTAGTTTAGTCAAATTTTTGTGTTAATTGTTTGAATGAAACCAGAGACATCTTCTGATGTGGTTGAGTCAGAACCTCTGGACGGGTTCTTGTTTGTTGACCAAACAGGAACCCGTCCAGAGGTCCTGTTAGATTGATCCACCTGGATTATTGAGCACGCGTCGGGACATTTAGAACGTCTTGTTTTTATCACGTCTGTTCTGTTTTTACTTTCTCTAGTGTTATAGAAGCTCACACAGTTTATGCAGGCTTCATGTTTTTCTCACATCGATGGGTGAAGATTATCGTATCAAGAAGTTCACGGACAGAAGGTTGTTACTTCTTGATGTTTCCTGTGTCTTCCTGCTCTGCAGACGTCCACCATGAATCAAATGTGACACGTCCTCTTCATAATCAGATCTCTTCTCTCCTTTTGTCCTGACTCCAGGCTGCAGGCTCTCCGCAAGGAAAAGTCCCGGGACGCTGCAAGGTCGCGGCGGGGAAAAGAGAACTTTGAGTTTTACGAGTTAGCCAAGATGCTGCCGCTGCCTGGCGCCATCACCAGCCAGCTGGACAAGGCCTCCATCATCCGGCTCACCATCAGCTACCTGAAAATGAGGGACTTCGCCAATCAGGGGGACCCGCCGTGGAACCTGCGCATCGAGGGGCCCCCGCCCAACACGTCGGTCAAAGGTAGGACCAAGACAGGAAGCACTCCTTATTGATTTCAAACCATAAAAATATATATATTTTTTAAACGTTTTTTAAATTCCACATGTTTTGTGTTTTTGAGTTAATGCTTTGAAACATTCAAAATAAAAGTTTTCTTTACCTTTAAAAGGGTTCAAACATTATTAAAAATATGAACCTTTTGATCAATGGAAATGAGAAAACTTGATATTTTATCTTCTGCATTATTGTTTATTAAAGTAAGGAAGCTAGATAGATAGATAGATAGATAGATAGATAGATAGATATAGAGAGAGAGATATATAGATAGATATAGAGAGAGAGATATATAGATATTTCCCATGATTCATCAGGGCTTCAGTCCCTGAAACTAAAACTGATCTTTAATGCAGTGGTTCCCAACCCTGGTCCTTGAGGAACACCATCCTGCATGCTTTAGTTGTTTCTCTGCTCCAACACATCTGATTCAGTGATTTACTTGATTACCTCATGTTCTGCAGAAGCCGGTTAATCACCTATTTATTAAAATCAGGTGTGTCGGAGCAGAGAAAGAACTAAACATGCAGGATGGTGTTCCTCAAAGACCAGGGTTGGGAACACCTACTTTTAATGGAACATTTAGATTTTTATATTATTAGAAATGTTAGCCACAGCTTCTCTCGTCTTATTGAATTTAATGCAAGTTTTTTTAATTTTTAATTTATTTATCCCACTTACTGGTGATTAGTTCATCAATGCACAAGATCACCAGAACCCGACTGAAGCTCCTAAATCCTACACAACTAATGCATACACCATGTAATCTTTTGTTTTAGTTCATCTTTGTTTGAATTTGAAGACATTTTAGTTTGAACCTTTACAACAGAGATCCATTTCACCTTAAATCTCAACTAAAGTCCATTTTTTTGTGTTTAAACCAAACTAAACCTCCACTGCAGCTAATCAGAGACCAAATATTTAAAAGTATTTACTTTTAAGTTCAGATTTCTGTTTTAGAACTTGTTCTGCACAGAAACTGAAAAGTTTCACAAAGTTTTGACGAAGCTGATGACATGTTCACCAGTAATCCCTGAAGTTCATCATTAACCCATCACTGTTCCAGAACATGTCTGTGTTTCACGATGGCTGCAGTAAAGAACGAAACTGGGCTGAACACAACGGTCCTCTCATTCTCTCACTGATCATCTCGTGTTCACAGAAAAACTAAGGCTTGTGTTCCTTCGTTCATGCCCACTGCAGTAAGCTTGTTTGGCCTAGTTATCTCGGTGTATTAAAATAAACCGGCTTGTTTTCACCTCTAGGTAACTAGTCTTGGTTATCTCCAGATAATACGATAATCCTCGCTTCGATAACGTGAACTCATGATCTCCAGAAAACGACGTGATTCTCAGTTTCTGTTGTTGCACTTGTGATTGTTTTAATTTTGTTTTACAACTTATGTTTTTTCGTCGTGCTCAGGACAGACAGGACAGAAAGACTTCCTGCAGAGACCGTCCGTCTCTTTAAACTTATCAAACACCCAAAGCAGTGGAAACAGACGGCTAGCCTCTGCGCTAAGCGATTTTCTGTGCGAACGTGAAGCTTTGATAAATTTCTGCCCGCAGAACCAGAACACGCACAGCACTTGTGAATCTTGGAGGAGTTAGCCTTTGAAATTGGCCTTTTGTGCGACACACTCAGAGGAGAAGAGGGACATTTGCTTTAAAGAGCTGCTGGACGTACAGGAACGAGCCAACGATGAACACAAACTGCTGGAAAAGTCTCCTGCGGCGCGTGTGTGCGTTCAAGGTGAAATCTGTTGATTAGGTGTAATGTTTGTGTGTTTGGATGTGCAGCGATGTGTTTTACAGATATGTAAAGGTATTTTCACACACAGTGTGTGTTCCTCCGCTCTGTCTGCAGCACCAGATGGCATCATTGTTGTCAGAGCTTTGAAGAGGAGCATGCATGTTAATGAACAGAGGAGCTGTGTGCATGTGTGCGTGCGTGAGCGTGTGTGTTTCGCTCCATGTCTTAGTCACTGAGTCTGAGCAAACTCTTTACCTAAATCACATTTTTATGTAAATGTTTGAAGACGGATTGTGAAAGTGAAATATTTTCTCAGATCCGGTGAGTCTGTTTTATCGTTTATCAGAACGTTTCAGTCGTGCAGCAGCTGAAATCACTTGTCTGCTGGAGCACCAGGCTGCGTTACAGGAAAACACAAACGTTCAATCATATTAAAAGGTGTTTGGAGCACCATGTTTCCTTGTTCTTTGGATTGTTGCAGTCAGCAACAAAAACCATTTAAATACTCGATTCAAGATGGCCGCCACAGCCAACTGGCTTCATATAAACAAAACTGGCTACAGCTCAGTCAGCTTAACAGATGCCAGGCTACTTTATGATGTGGTAGTAGCTGAGAGTCATTAAACTGCAGAACTTTATTTTCAAACGACAACTTCATCAGTTTTCAACTGAAGACCATCTGAGGCGGCGGGTGATATGCATTCTGTGAGGAACGATGTGCTTGATTCATTTTATTTCTTATTTCTTTACATTTATTTGAGGTTTCTGTCCATGAGGCACCGTCTGATACACGTTGTTGGACTTTTTTGTTGAACATAAACAAACATGAACCAGCCAGGTACAGAACAGTCCACCTGTAACTTCATTTAAAGAAACAAGTTGTTGTTTTCCATAAAACAACCTGAACACCTGACCACAATAACACCTGACCACCATAACACCTGACCACAATAACACCTGACCACCATAACACCTGACCACCATAACACCTGAACACCTGACCACCTGAACACCTGACCACCATAACACCAGACCACATGAACCACATGAACACCTGACAACATGAACACCTGACCACATGAACACCTGATCACATGAACACCAACACATTTGAACATCTGATCACCTGACCAGTTATGGCTCAGAATGAAGACGTTGTTAAAATAAGATCAAATATTTTCTGAGTGAAGGTCAGAAACTGACGTGTTGTTGACATCAATATACGGGAACAAGATGCTCTTGCCTTCAAAATGAATGTTGGACAGACACGCGCGCACTCACACACACACTCACACACTCACACACACACACACACACACACACACACACACACACACACACACA